GCGAGCCCGTATGGCAGTTCCTTTCACACCGCTGGGCCGGGTGTGGGGGGTGGAAAATTCTCGGATCTGAATCGGTCGGTCTGTTGGGGCCAACGCACCGTGGGCTCCGGTGTATGACAGCAGAACAAATGGGCTAACGTGTCTGCTGGCGGACCGGAATGTGCGGGTAATCTGCATGTTCTCCGAGTTTTCCTAGTATTGGGAGGCCCAGCCACCACTGCACTTGACTCCATCCACCCTACTGCTGCTGCCACCGTCCGTGCAGAAAACACCCCCGCCGTCACACCCGTCGCATGCTGCTGCTGCTACTGCTGCTATGTATGTATATAGGTATGTATGTGTACAGCTATAGCGTTCAACGTCATGTAATACGTTTTCTGAAAGCGACTCTAAAATTAAGACAAATAATCTGTGTCTGTATATATGATTATATATGTCAGATGTATAGATGCTAGTATATTTATAGTACTCCTAGTACTACGACAACGACGGCTAATTACTATTGCTACCACTACTACGTACCACTACTACTACTACTACTACTGCTACTACTGCTACTACTACTACTACTACGACTACTACTGCTACTACTACTACTAGTACTACTGCAGCTGCATGCTGCTACTACTACTACTACTACTACTACTACTACTACTACTACTTCTACTCCTACTGCAGTACTAGTGCGAGCACTACAAGTACTAGGTACCACGTACTAATACAAGTACTAGTCTTGGTACTGGTACTGGTATTGGAACTAGTATTGGTACTGGTACTTGTACTGGTACTACTACTACTACTACGACGACGACTACTACTACCTCTACCTCTACCTCTATACTTCTACCTCTGCTACTGCTGCTGCTGCTGCTACTGCTACTGCTACTGCTACTGCTACTGCCACCACCACCACCACCACCACCACCACCACCACCACCACTACTACTACTACTACTACTACTACTACTACTACTACAATTGAACTACTACTAGATCTACTACTATTCTTGAAGTCTCCGACGGAGGCCGCTGCAAGATTGCTGGGCCACTGCGCAACATATGCTTGGACAACAGCTTGGTCGCCTTGATCTGTGAGTGACGACGTCTTCATGTGAATGCATGCTTTACATCTATGTATCGACTGTAGAAACCGCCACTAGTACTACCACGACCACTGATAATGCCGCTGCTATTAGAAAGGTGGTATAGCACTACATGCATGCTCCTGCTGTTGCCATTACTAGCTACTAGCATGCGTGTGTGGTTGCAGTCGTCGCGACTTGCTAGGCCCGCATGTTTCCAATTGGCAAGCATACAGTAAAGTTAGCTTAAGGGCCGGGGCGACCAAACCTATAGCGGCGCAATTAGTGTAGTTCCGGGGGCATGCCAGCAATTGGCGACACCTTTAGTCTTAGTATCTTATAAGCTATATAGGGCGACACATACTATAGCCATCGGTTTTGTAACGCAACGATGCGATTGATCGGTGCCGGCTCTCACTATAGTCTATGGTTCTGGCCCGCGACCATGATCATACAAAGTTATATAGTATTATATATATATATATATTACTATATATATATATATATCTATGTCTATATATCTATATCTATATTAATATATATCTATATATATATATATTGATAGATCAATATATATATATATATATATATATATATGCAATTCCGTGAAATCACGGATCCTGGTTCATTTCGTTCACGGATTCACGGCTTCAGCTTCTGGACCTTCCACACTTTCACGTGCTTACGTGTTCATCTATTCACACTTTCACGTCTTCACGCTTTCACCTGTGTACGATTTCACGCATTCACGCTTTCACGTGTGTACGCTTTCACGCATTCACGCTTTCACGTGTGTACGCTTTCACGCATTCACGCTTTCACGTGTGTACGCTTTCACACATTCACGCTTTCACGTGTGTACGCTTTCACGCATTCACGTGTTCACGCTTTCGCTTTCCCGGTTCGTGCTTTAAATTATATATATATATATATATATATATATGCATATATTATAATGGGCATCTATCTATATATATATATATATAAATAAATAGACAGGATAAAGCAAAGGCTTTGAGGCATGTGTGGGCACAGGCTTCGGGTAAGTATAAGGTGGTGGCAAACACATCGAGCAGTTATACTGATTCTGCACTGATCGACAATTGCAACCTATATTGCGATCCGTAGCAACCCTTATATAGAAATCATAGTCTATTGCCCTCTGGGGGTTTAGGCCCTAGGGTTCGGCTGGGTATTATTGAAACCCGCTCTCGATGCTAGAATCCTGCAGAGTTGGCGGGTTCATGCATGGTTATAGTATCCATGTTGTTCAATTTCCACGACTCGAGTGTTCTTTTTAGTGCCCACATGTGCCGCAAATGCTTTGTGTGTGTGCGCAGGACATCGGATGGGCGAGGAAAGCCGATCTACGGTCGGTGGTTAAGGATCTTGCCTGATGCAGGCAAGACACGGGCTGGAGTTTGGAGTGATTTCGGTCGATTCCTGTGGAATTGAGCACATTTTGGGCTAAACCGAAGAAAGCGTGAAAGCGTGAAAAAGGCGTGAAAGTAGCGTGAAAAGGCGTGAAATTTCACGGTTCTCAGAATCGACCGAATCGAGCTCAATTTGCTTCAATCCGGTTGGGTTTTGTGCTGCTTTTCAGCACTTTGGCCCGATTGGTGGTGGCAGATGCGATAATTCGGAAGCCTTGGGAGCTTGGCAAAGGCATCTGAAAACGGAGCTGTGCAGCTCCATTCCTAATCGAGCATGAGTATATTGCAAGTTTGGGCAAGAGCTAAAGATGACACCTTGTATCCAGCATGCAGGTGCAGCGCTTGAGTGAAGGCGGCCATTTTGGCCTAAGGTTTTTCAAGTGCAGTTGGTAATCCTGAAGGATCAAGTGCGATGGCCGTGCCATCCAAAAGGCTGCGACACAAGGCAGCACCGGCAGCCCAGGATGGCACTAAGGAAGTGAACCCGTCGATGCTAAAGAGTCCCAACCCCAGGGCGCTCAAGGCAGCCAAGAATGGGATGAAAGATCAGGGGGACCGAAGCTCGACAACCTCGACAGCGACACCCTCACCTTCGATCCTGAAGAGATCGCCTTCCTTGGATGGCATTACTAGGAGGCTGAGTTTTGGGACCCCGAAAGTGCACGACATCGAGGCCCAGAACCCCGGCAAGTCTACGAAGATGACGCCCGAGCGGGCGAAAGAGGTTCTCGAAGCTATCAAGCTTGCCGAAGGCAAGCTTGTAAGCGATTCCAGCGAGGCTCGATCGGGAATGTTGGGTTTATGTTTTCGGGTTGTACGAGGTTTTCGTGTGGTTCCCGCTATCATGATCTGAAATATTGGTGTTGGTGTCATGTGGTTGTGCCCGTTTCTGCCTCCAGGTCTACAACAAGCGTCCGTATGTATATGTATGTGTTATATATATATATATATATATATACATACAGAGTATGTCAGTGGTATCTGTGTATATATATATATATATATACATATATATGTATGCATATACACGTAGAAACCTCTGCGTGTGTGTTACACATCTATAAGCGGAACACATCTACCTTCATATCGCATGCATGCTTGCACGTGGAATGGTTAAAACCATAAGTATATACCCAATTATAGCCTTTGTTTTTTTCGGCTGTCCTGCATGCAGGATGACAAGAGAGCGTCAAAGCCGAGCCCGCGCCGGGACACGCCATCGGCTGGTTTGCTATGTGATGTTTTACTGTCATATCTGTCATCAGTTGCATTAGATTACATTTACACTATATATATATATATACATATATATATATATATATATATATCCTCTGGTTACCGTACACCGTACTGTATATCAGTAGTAATCAATCCATACCTATAGACCTGCCATTTATATATGTATATATATATATATGTATGCATATACTCACAAATTACGTCTGGTGCTTCTTTCGTGTGTGTAGGTATTTTATGCATATCCCCTGAAGAGTGATGCTGTATTGCAGTAATGCCGAATCTCATTGTGTTGTTGCGAAAAACATAATGCTGATCACGAATATATAATATATATATATATATATATATATATACATATGCTGTATTCATATCTATATATATATATATGCCGTATGATGATATGCTCTAGTAAAGCATATACTAACATAGTCTTATAGGAGTAGGGTAGAGTATAGCGACGTAAGTGAACAGGCTCGGGTGAGCTAGGCGATGGTTTGGGTGCGATTCGGGATTCGGTCCTTACATCTCTGCTCATACAACATGGCACAGCATATGCCTAGTCTGGGAGGACCAGCCCTCTTTGACACCGGAGCAGAAGAAAGAGCAGAAGAAGCAGCAAAAG